AGCCTTGTGTGGGAACCTGGATGGACTCCCATAGGCAACATGTCAATATTCCATTCTACTTAGATTATAGTAGTGTCTGTCACATAGTAGATGTTCAACAAATACCCCAAGAAATGAACCAAATGGTTGAAGTCCTCTCCCCTGTTGATAAGCAGCAAGGTTCTACTACAAAGGACTAGAAGAAGCATATCTGCATGTAGTGGGATGATTCTCAAAACCAAATGAAGTACAAGGAGACAGGCAGGCCATCTCCACCATGATAAGCAAAGTCTGCTAAATTATAAACCAATTCCAGAAGTGCTTCTGGAATATGCAGAAGGCTCTGAAGACACCTTATGGTTTGTAACTGGTAGAACAAACCCATCCCTTGTTCTCTGACCTTTGTTAGCTGACCAGCTTAAAAGGCATGAAAGAGTATTGGTTCTTAAGAATGTTCTTACCAGGGGCTGGAGTCGTGGCTCAGTGGTGGAGTGCTTGCCTGGCATGTGGGAGGCCCTGGGTTCCATCCCTGGCACTGCACATAAATAAATAAAGGTCTCACTTTCCAAAGGCTTCACCACCTCCCAATGACATCACAAGCTGGGACCAAGCTTTTAACACATGAGTCTTTAGAGACCTTCACGATTAAAACTGTGGTATTTCAAATTTTTTTTTTAAAAGATCCATTGACAACTAAAAAGTATTAAAAAAAAAAAAGGAATGTTCTCAGCATTGTTTGCTGTGTGGAATAGAGAAAAATCACGCTAAGGAATAAGGTCTTAAAACAAAACAAAACACCCACAGGCAAAGAGGTCTGCCGAGCTGGAGAATTTTGGTGAAACCTGAAATAAATCTCTCTGGTGGGGGGCACTCTAGGATAGAGTGAGCTTCTCGGTAAGATGGGACAGATCCTTCTGCCATTTTGCCTTTTAAGAAAATTCAATGGCTATCTTCATGCTTTGTTGTGAGTTTAAATTCTGGAGCTCTTATGTAAAACAAAGCAAGAAGTTTCCCAGAATTTTTCTTGTTCCAGAGAGGCCTTTCTTGGGTTGGCATAGAATCTGTGCCAGGATTTCATCACTACCCAGGCCTGCAAGGTCCTGAGTTTCATGGTACCTTCACCTTCGTAGGCATTTTCAGGGTAGTGACTGGGTCAGAGGCAATGACCTCACTGGCACCAACCTCTAGGAGTTTGTCAAAAACCAGGGCCTGGGCCACTCTCCCACTGAGGGAGAGCTTACCTAAGTAAGGCTCAGTCGTGCAGTGGTCAGACCTGGCTTTGAGAGAGCCGCAGATACACAAAGAAAGAAGAGTCTGAGGCTTTGAGCTTCAGTCCTCCTCTGCTGGTGAGGCCCCATCAAACCTCCACCTGGTGGGCTCCTGGCACCAGGCAGCTCTCTGCTCAAGTGCTCCCACCCCAGGGAAACTTTCTCTGACCTGCCATTCTCCAGTGGCCATCCTCCCTGGAATGGATTGTGTTCATTTTTTAAAATTTCTTATTTTATTTTTCGTTTTTGCACTTTTCTTCTTTAATTATTCATTGGCGTATTTATTTTTGCCTACTTCTCCCACCTCCTGTTCTGCCATAGTACAGACAGGCCCATGAGAAGCAGGCTCTGGTCTGTCTTGCCCATTGCTATCTCTCTCTGGCTTGTGGAATATGTCTGATATATAGTAGGTGCTCAGTAAATGTGTTAATTGTTTAATTACCAAGAAGGCTGTTTAGAATAGCACTTCTCTTAGAAGGAAGCAGCTGGAATGAGCCACACGTTACCGGAAACCCAGAGGTTAGCATGATTTAGTACCAAAGAGAAAGATGCTGGATCTTTTCCTAGATCTTTCTCGCGTATCAAAGCAGTAAAGATAGTAAGTCACGGTCTGACTACCAGCCTGTATACGGGGGATCGGTAAAAGTGGCTGAAATAGCTCAACCTCACTGTAGTAGCAAGAGCTGAAATCCTGTACTCCCACTGAATCAAAGCTTGGAAAGAAACGTTTCCTATTCTCCAAATGGGGTGAGGGGGGAGAGTTGAGAATTTTACACTACAAAGCATCCAGGCAGAAAACCACACGTTTGCCCATTTCATTTTGGTGATAACAAAGCCGTTGTTTGCACATTCTTCCTGTCCCACCTGCTCTGGCCTGCCCAGTATAAACACCTTAGCCAAGAAGTGTGAATGGGGTTAGCATAGTCTTTCAAACATCGAGGTTTAAAGGGGTAAGTGCCATCTTCAATCAGCAAGAATCATTTTCTGCTAATCTAGGAAATCCAATAATAATTGTAAATGGGTAAGTTTAGAAAAGCTTTGAGCCTTGTAAATATTTCTGTGAAATATGAAGGCAGAGTATTAGGCGAAACACAACAAAGTAATAAATAATAATTACTCTTCTATTCACTGGTCTATTTATTAGAATAGTCTATTTATTAGAATGGTACAATACACTTCCCCACAGGCTTTATTTGGCTTTCTGGCTCTTCAAATTGTATTTAAAATTCTTTTAGGCACGACCAAGAGCAACCAAAATGAATAATGCCATTAAAAAAGAAATCATTAGGTATGAAAATCTATAAGATGATGCAACCATCCCTGAGTTAAAAACAAAAGGATCGACATCTATAAATGTTGAATCTCTCAGGCATTCATTTTATGGTAAAAACAATTACATCGCATCCATCTAATCTTGTAATTAAGATTCAAATGGGTTCAAAATGATTAATTTGTACTGGCCTATCAAAATAGAAGACTTTGTAGTTGTAGTCTTCCTGAATAGCAATGGTGTTTTAATTACAAATGCCTGGCTCGCTATTTGCTCAAGAGCAAATGACAATTAGCCGGATCCTGCTGCAACTGTTAATGCTACTGGTACTAAAATAAATGGCAATACTGAATCAGGTTTCTGACATTTCCCTTCAGTTCACGATCTGATGGATACTATATTCGAAATGTACTTAGTCATTTTAAGTCACAGGCAAGAAGGAAAATGGCTTCCAAACAGCTTTAAAAAAAAAAAAAAGGTGTTGCAGGAAGGATATTTCGTGGGAAGCCTAGAGCACGAAATCACTCTGAGATGAATCATGTTCTAATGTAATTGAGCCAGAGACAGATTTTCCAAGCAAACTACTTTAGTTGGCCTCAAAACAACACAACAACAACAACTACCACCACTCTGGAGCCCACAAGAGGCTTGACTGTACAGATAACGTAGGCAAACTGCTAGAATAAAGCACCTATTTACACAGATGCCCCTGAGTGTCCACATTCTTCACTGAGAGCAAACCTCCAGGAGGTTCAGGCTGCTAGTCTTCCTCCTAACACACCTACTAAGACGCTTTATAGAAGCTCAACGTGCACTTGCCATTGGGGGGGTAGGTTTGGCTTTCAGTCCTTCACTATTCAGAGCTCAGGGGTCACCAGTGGAGGGATGGGGAAAAACAGGAGCACGAGCATTTTCTGATTCTCAGAATTTCTGAAATATCTTTTGTTTCAGAGGCGCTGGTGAACTCGTGATAATGAAACTACACCTCTGTGCACCAACCTTGACCTGCACTCTGGAGCACAGTACAAAGGAAACCTTAATTTTGAAAGTACTGAGCACAAAGGAGGAAGAAGAAAGCTTGTCACTGTGCAAGCCTTCTCTATATATTTAGAAATATGGTTTAATCTGTAAGGCTTGAAGACCGCATTTTTAAAACGTCTAAAATCAGATCAGGTTCTATATGAGAGGAAACAACTGCACAATGTTCATTAAATATTTGTTTCCTTTAAAAACACATTCTTTTGCATATCTGTTATTGCATTTTTAAATACGCTTTGGTTACCAAGGAAACAGGTTCCGGCCCAGTGTTAATTTGAAACTAAAATATATTTGAGAAGTTAAGCTGAAAGGAAAGAGCTCATGAAATTATTATTTTTTTAAATGACAAAATTTGGTTCTTACAGAACTACAACTCCATGGTTTGTAATGAGCCATTGTAGGGGCTCCATTTCACTTAGTGAAGCTCTATTTCTTCTAAGAGGGCCATCTATATTTAATATTTCCCCCATTAAAGACTGTAACCCCTCATGCCCCTAAATGATATGTACATATCTAAATAGTGTATGTGACCTTATATACTATCCCAAATTGGTTTTGGAAGCATATAAGTTTTTATTTTCATCTTTCATATAACACGTTTTAAGACCGCTTCTTAAAATTTTAATATTTTTAATGTTTCTTATTAAGCTTATTTGCGCTCTTTGAAATTATCTCTAAAAACCCTTTTACTTTTAGTTTCAAGCAAAAATGAAGCTGAATCATCAGACTTTTCAAAAAATTCTTTTGTTGTCTAGAGGCGCCACACCTATCATATAGCTGATTTTTTTTTTAAAAAAAGAATCATCTCACTTTTGTAGCAGAATCATTTGATAAGCTCTACATTTATATAGTATCTGAATAGACAGGCTATCTAGTTTAATACCCTTCCCCCCAAAGACTACAGCTATCTTATTTTTTATTTTAAAAGTCATATTTTAATGCATCTAATGATCTTGCTGCATGGCTCAGAAAAATCTATAAAACATGCAAATTTCAACCTACCTGTATGTGTCACTTAATGCAGTCCTAGCATGACAAGACACTCAGCCATTTTTATGGAAGGCGATGGAGACCAACTGATTTCTCCGTCTTCTTGCTCACAAGTTTTAGATGCAACTGCCACACACACCAAAAAATCATACGCAGAACAGCTTGAATGTGCTGTGATCACGGGAACTGAATTTATCAACAGGAAAACAGGACTGAAAAGAGAAGTTTCTCATCCAGGGTTTCTCTGAGGCTGCAACCAAGGAGGTGATGTGTTGAATTTTTTTTTCCCCTTGCTCCTCTGAGAGTTCAAAGCTCGGAGCTGACCACTGCAAAGGCCACTGTCACATTTGCTGAAAATCAAACCACTGATACCAGCACTGAAAATACAAATTTGAGAACCCAAGTTGCTTGCACAGGATGGAGTGCATAAGAGTTAAAAATAGCTTCCACCTTGCCTCCTACCTGCATAATAAACATGTAAGTTTCAAGTGTTTAATTTGATACTCACATTAATTAACAATACAACATACATTATTTAAAAGACAGCAAATGCAAGAAGAAAGGGGAGACACCATCTGGTAGCAGAGTTTTGTTGTTGTTGTTTTTGGTTTTAGGGTTTTGTGGGGTTTCTTTAGCTTTGTTTAAAAAGGAAGGTAAAATCGTATTTTGAATGTAATGAAAACATCCAAATGAATCGGAAATGAAAGGTGATGTCGAAATACCTAAGGCTGTAGAGGAAAAAAAAAAGTCTTCGCTACCAGATGATATGGCACACAGAGCATTTACATACTCACATCTGAAATACTAGGCAACGTGTAATGAATTCTGTACACAGCATGCACACAGCACAAGCCCGGCTAATCCTGCCTGCCATCTTAGGCTCGCAGGAGCAAGATACGCAATGCATGCAGCACACGAGCACCGGGGAAGGAGGAGGCAAGGGACAGCTCACCTTAAATGCAGTATCTGATTAATGTTGTAAGTGACATTGCATATCAGCCTCAGAGTCTTGGTTCAACTGAGTAGGAGGGAACAAAGAAAAATGTCATCAACTGCTGATGCAAGATGAGCCCAATCACTAAACACTGTTTAGCAAACTCCAAATTCTGCAACCAGACAGTAGAAGGCATTTCACACACTTAAGCAGAGCTGCTGCACACTGCATGTGTCCTTCTGCCTCTGAGAACCAGTTCTTTTGCTAAGGAAGAAAATAAGCTGGAACGAATACAGTCATATCCTCTTCTTGAAGAAAGCTTTCAATACAGTATGTATCTGGTCCGGGATGCATTTTATAGGCTGTTAATTTCATAGAATTGCTAACAACAAAAACCAAAACTGTTAAGCTATTGCAAAGCACAGGATGATTCTGATAAAGGGTATAGCATTTCTAGATTATTTTTCAAAATCCTAAACGGTGCCGGCAGGCTTGCAGAAGAATGCATGATCAGCTGTCTGTATCCGTTCTATAACCTTTAACCACAAGCAGCGTAAATGTATCCTGCTGAATGTATCTGCAATACAGAACGGCAGATACCGCTTCAGACCGAATTATATTGAGATGGGAATGAATTTTCTTAAAATGAGCAGCAGAAAAAAAAAATCAGTACAGAAAAATAAATTGATGCTGAGTTCCTTGGGATGTATAGCTGACCATCGTGAACAATAAAAGCTATATTTAGGATATTGACCTAAATAATACTAAGACTTACAGCTGCATACTGTACGTGTTCAGAACATAGAAAATGCAAAATGATTTTCTCATCCCTCCCCCTTCGAAAGCTAAATTTAAAAGTAACAAGCCATTTATAGGAATACCGAAAGGCTTTAGACGGTACATACTGTAGGAGAAGAAATCGTGTTGTGCTGAGAGGCAATGTTCTTTGTTTTACTTTGAAGCTTATTTTAGCTACGCTTGTACGATGACATTGACATCAGGTCAGGGCCGACGCTTGGTTGCTATCCGTTTTATGAGTGAAATGTTTCCCGAAAATTAAATCTCATCTACTCAAACACCAAATTTCATGTCTTCTTCAATACACCTCCCTACCCCCACTGCTCAAGATTGATGGGACCTAGTTTGGCTGTATGTAATAAATTGGCATCACTTTCTGCAGAGACACCAATACAGAATTGTGAAGAATTAATTTTTAAAATAAAAAAAACCTTCGAGAATTCTTAAGCACATCCCCTTTCATTGCTTCCTATCAACAAATACACACACACACACACACACACACATACACACACACACACATTCACACACAAAATTGAAGCTCAAATTGCAATGAAATGTTTAACATGTGGAACAAAAACTATTGAAAGAGCTGCTTATTCAGGATTTTTAAGAAATGCCTAATAAGCAAATACTATTTTGCTACAAAACCAGTGTCACCATGTCCCCAAAGAGGAAAACAGTGTAGCTTGCTAGAAAAATTTTCTCCAGATTGTGCCGGCAGGTAAAAAACAAAACAAAACAGAAAAAGCATTTCATTTACCATGCTATATAAAACAAGCAGTCATTTATTTTAAGGAAACAGAACATGTTCTTTTCCACTCTGTTTCTTTAGTTACAAAGAAGCCATACCCACCCCCACCCTTAGAACCTGGATATAAGCCAACATTTTTATAAAATGCTATGAAATGGATTTTGAATATGGAATATTTACATTTTTTGTCTTCTTATCTCTCCCAAAGTCATTAATTGCCTATTGCATCACTGCATATACTAATGTTAATTAATTTTAACATGTGCAAAAAAATGAATTGGTATTTTCTGAGGTTGCTCATTTTCCAGCGTCTCTCTCTTCTGTAAGAAATGGCTGAAAATAATCAGGTGAACCAAACATTCAAGTTCCCCAGAATTTCTTAAAGGAGAGAGGGCATTTGGACATCTCAACATAGGTACTAGGTTTCACAACTGGATCTTTTGTTTCTAGCTCACTTCCTATCTCCTTCCCCAGAACAGAAGTGATTTTTAGCTGAATGAGTGGAAAGTACCCTGCCCACCTCTAGCCCTTATGCTTTAGTCTCTGAGTTGGGTTGTTCCCGTGGTAGGTCATACCTGAGCTACAGCAAGTCCTCTTCTCCTTGGAGCACATCTCTCTCACAACTACTCCAGAAATAAATGTGGCTCTAACGAACACAGTAGTTCCTGATCTAACACCAATGGTGGAGCCATCTTCCCCACCCCCACATCATAGCTCTATGAGCTCTGGCTAACAGTGACAGTGACAGAAAATTAGAATGGAGTGTCCTTAGGCCAGTTCCTCCTTTACCATGGGGGCCAAGAATTCAGAGAGACTATCACACTGAGTTACAAGACACGGGTTTCATAGAAGGCCATCTATAAAGCAGGGTCCTTTGAGTGGGTTTGGAGGAGGTTGGCAAACATCTAGGTATTTGCCACTCAGTATCCGTTGAGAGAGTCTCCATTAAGGACATTTGAAAGCTAGACCTTCATGTTAAACATTCACAGATTATTATTATTATGTAGGCTAAATATTCACAATTATGGAATCTGACCACATTGAACTAAGTCGCTGCTTCCTCTGTCTGGGATAATAAATGACAGTGACAATGACAGTAATCCATATCAAGCTCCCTGGAGATGGGTGTATGGTGTTATGTCCTTTTATAGGGAAGGGTGGTCTGGTCTCCTACTGGCACTTATAAAGTAGATGCCAGGGCAAGCCATTTCCAAACCTCCCGTGGGGTTCCCTATCTCTCTTTGGTCAAAACGAGCTGAAAAGCCATACATTGGTTTATTTTGTGATGTTCCAAAACGCTCAACCAGCACATCTGGTATGTTTGCCAAACCTGCTAGGGGTAAACAAACATGTACTATGGCTGAAAATATTCAGAGGGACAAGCTTGCTTAGGCAGATATTCTCGACTAGTAAATCCTGTTTTGTACTTTAAAAAAAATGCTCACACCTAAATTCCTTCAGCTTTGTCATGATTACAAGTGGCAAAGATATGCATTCGCTTATGATTTTTAAAAATTGTGTGCACCTCATTAACCTCCTCGGGGCGTAAGCACAGACATTAACTTAAAAGACAAATCCCTTTTCCCCAGTGAACATTTGAGCCTGCTTCTGCCACTCTGACGAGTCAAGCACGAGGTATCCAAAATAATCTGGCAAGAGCAAGCTGGAGGACAGAGCTAGCCAGCAGCGAGGGTTGAGTCTTTCACTTTGATTAACGTTCTTACTTGCTCTTCGTCTCCTTGTTCTGCTCGCTGAGCTAATTTTATTTTCGGTTCTATGGGTTAAAGTTAAATTACATGGCTTATGCAAAGTACATAATTCAAGTATGAACAAAGCTTGACTCTCTACATTTTTTTTTAAAAAAACATAAAGTCAGGGCACTGAGTCCCAGAGGAATCCTTGGTTGATAAACATTTGGATCGGTTTGCACATTTCTTTACGCCATTCGCTACATTTAAATTTACAGCTGGTTTCTTTTTACACCTAGTATAGATGGTCAACTTGTGGTGCATCTGTTATCAGGTTAGGCTATTCTAACTGAAATTTAAAAATTAAATATTCTCCAGATAAAACACTTTGATTTAAATTCTTCGAATGAAAAGGCTTAGATTATTTTTTTATGAGGTTGGTTATTATGTCTGTCTATTGCTGTATTCATCCCTGGAAACAATTTGATGACTTAATGTATCAATGACTGAAAATACCTTTGGGTGATATTTTAGCTGAAATTTTTGGGAAAGTCCAATCCTACTTTGAACATCTCTGTCTTGCCTAGAGATCTGGGCAGGAACTTCTGCTTTCTGTTGATCAGAGCTGAAAGTCTGTACTAGCTATCAATTATGAGGAATCTACTTCCTATTCAATATTTTAGCTTATTTAATTATTTTATTCATATTATAATTATTTTATTTAATTCTAATGCAATAATCCTGCAAAGTGGGTATTAATTAATTTTTATAAAGATTACTAGTCACATAGTAAATAGCAGAACTGGGATTCGAATCTAAGTCTAATGGATTGTAAAGTTTGTCTTTCTACCAATCATAGAGGATAAAACTTCCTCCTGTGTCCACACTCCACTCCTAACATCAGTAATTTTTTTTTATTTGCAGATCCCTGGTGGAGGGGCCCCTAGCTTCTGGGAATTAACAAGTTCTCTAGTTTAGATGAACCTGTGTCTACTTTCCAGGCTCTGGGAATTTTTTTTTTTTTTAAAGAGAGAGTGAGAGAGAGAGAATTTTTAATATTTATTTTTTAGTTCTCGGTGGACACAACATCTTTGTTTGTATGTGGTGCTGAGGATCGAACCCGGGCCGCACGCATGCCAGGCGAGTGCGCTACCGCTTGAGCCACATCCCCAGCCCGGCTCTGGGAATTTTGAGTACCCAGGATGCCACCAACCAGAAATTTAAAAATTAAATATTTGCCAGATAAAACACTTTGATTTAAATTCTTTGAATGAAGAATTTAAGATAGGCCAGACTTAGCAGGCAGAAGAGACAGCAGAAAAAAGGAGGAATCAACAAGTTTGGAGAAGTTAAGGGTAGAAGATCAGATTTAATGATTTGGGAGGAAGATTGTCATAATTTGGAAATGTTTTATGTGGTAAAGTAGGTGGAAGAAGTTTGTATTTCCAGACAAACCAAGATTTCAGCTAGTAAAGTCCAGTATTACCATATCAAAGATGAGGAAACTAAGGCTGAGAGAAAGATCTGGTGATTTGGACAAGATCACACCCTTCATGAATGAGTTCAGCCATTCACTGTGTTCAGAATTGTGGCTGGTTTCCTTTCACACCTAATATATTCAGTAGTTGTAAATGTTTAAAATTGAGTTGTTTGACTATTCTAATCTAAATTACAATTAAAGAAAAATCAGTGCAACAATCAAGACTGACCTGCTTTGATTCACAAACAGTATTTTTCACCTGTATGTATAACCTAAGGAGGTATTATGAGTTACTTCCTCAATATGTTTTAAAAATGGACTTTTAATTTTCTAATTAATTAATTGATATTTTTTCTGTGCTGGGGATCAAACCCAGGCCCTTGCACATATAAGACAAGCATTCTACTCCTGATCCACCCCCAAATGGACTTTTAAGAAGCCTAACTTTGGGATAACAGATTTTTCTCTGCCAAATTTAGTGTTTTTCATGTATCATTTTAACAAATGATTCTAT